AAAAAAAGATGAATATGAAGATTTGAAATTTTAGCCAAAATTGAGAGTGATCCATTTTAAATAAGAACTACAAATTTATAAAATTATATGCATTCAATTTTCAACTTTTTAATTTTTGGAAAGTCAAATATCAATAATATAGTGATTCCAAAATAGTCTAACCGTTTATTTAAATTGACTATAATATGTACTTAACATTAAATAAAAAAAATTACGCTTTATCGTGGCAAGTAATTTGACCATTAGAAACTATATGTGTGATGAAACTAATAAAATTTAACTAATTTATTTTTGGTAGTCAATTTTATTAGTATTATTTATTTATAATAAATAATTAAACTAGTTTCATCACACATATAATTTTTATTGGTCAAATTTCTTGCCACGTTAAAACGTGAAAAATCCTAGTTATTTAGTGTTAACTACATATTATAACCAATTTAAAGAAACAGTTAGACTATTTTGGAATCACTATATTATTAATATTTAAGTTTCCAAAAATTAAATAGTTGAAAATTATGTGCATATAATTTTATAAATTTGTAGTTTTTCTTTAAAATGAGTCAAAAGAATACCTCACAATTTAGCTAAAGCTTCAAATCTTCATATTCATTTTCTTTGGGGGGGGGGGAGGGAGTGAACATCTTCTATAGAATCATCAAGGTAAGAGATAAGTTCTCAAAACTTAATGTTTGAAGCTTTTTAATTTGGTTTTATACTTGTTAATAACAAAATTTAACCAACTATTGTCAATCTATTGGTCAAATAATTCGCCATATTAGTCGAAGTTAGAGATCTAGTTTCATTTGTTATGTTTCTATGTTGATTACTATAGACTCTTTAAATGGTACAAAAAATATTGTTTACATGTTTTGAGATTTATATTAGATTTCATAAAATGATTTAACTTTGATTTTCTGAAATGAAAAAAGAAAATGTTGTTTAACCAAAGTTTTTTACTTTTTGATTCAAAGATCAAATATGACTCATCGTAGCCTTCGAGTGAGGAATTTCATCCTAAGGCAAAGAAACTATTCGCTGAGACCACAAATCAGAATTATGAATGAGGGGCCTTGGCCACTATTCCACCAATATGCATAACTTGCAATGAAGAGAATCAACAACGGTTCGAAAACACTCTTCTCCGGTCAGAACTCGAGACAATCACTTGTTTCACGGCGAGATTAATCACGTGCAGAAGCCTATATCCCGGGGCTCCTGCACTCGAAGAAGTTGTTTCGCTTGTGAGGAATGGGGCTCCGATGTGGACAAGCAAGGAGAGGCTGAATCTCGATGAATACTACTCTAGATGTTTTCCTTGGTATGCAAGAAACGTTCCTAGGTTTGTACATGAGGCTTTAAATGCAGAAGCATTTCTCTGTTGATGCTTCATCGCTTGCAGCATCTCTTATGAACCCTGTAAGTATAACATATCTTATAAGAATATATAAAGTTTTTCATGTTATTTACTTTTTTATTTTTAGAAATATTTTTTTTTGTTTGTTTAGGCAATTTGGCCGAAAATCTTCCCATCGATCGTCGGGGAGGTGTCTACTGAAGCACAACACCCGAAAGTCCAAAGAGTATGGAAACGTTCAATTCATTCAATGCCAGTTAATTTTGAATGGAAAATCCATAAAATATTATATAATTATTGATTTTGTTAGTGATATATTTTTTTTAACTTTGTATTTGTAGATTAATGTGGATTTTATGCCACAAATCTGCCCTTTGGTTCAAACCCGGAATGTGAAACTTCTTCGATGTTGGAGACGTATAGAGACCGATACATGGGTTATCGCGGACATCTCTCAGTATTTCAGCTCCTATGCTCGACATTTACGCCCCAAGTTTATGAGATTTCCTTCTGGATGTCTTATCCAACGTATAACCAATGGTCTCTCGAAGGTAAGTCTCAATATCAATTGAGCTTAGTTATCAAATATAGCTTTGGTCTAATTTGGTTATTAAAATATATAAAGGTAACCGTTCTCGAGCATTGGGTTTATAAGGAAGAAGAATACATGAACCGATCTGATCCAAATTCAACATTTGCTTTGAAATGGCTCAATGATCTCCAAAGGCAGTATTGGGACAACACTTGTTTAACCTCCATTCCTTCAATCGGTAACCATATCCAAAGTAATGAAAACAAATTCTGGTTTTTTTGTTCTTCTCTATCAAAATTTTAGTATAGTTTTAGACTAACCGGGTTTTAACCTTTGTATTTGTGTGTAGTATTCGAACCGATCTGTCAAACCAACTTGCTTAAACTATCTTCGATTATGGTTTCCATATTTTGTACCGGAGTTTGCGGGATAGCCGGACAAAAGTGGGAACTTCTCGGTTTGTTTGGATCGGTTAATAATATTAGAGTGTTAACCCGAGACACACAAAGTGGAGCGCCTTGCAATTTGGTTAGTGTTACTGGTATGGCTACAATGCAAGCTAAACCGGAGACAGTCATTGGTTTAATCAACCGTGCGAGAAAACAAGACATATGGAATTATTTACAATCCGTTGAAGATATGAGAGAAATGATTCGTATCCAAAGAGGCCCTAACCCAGGAATACATGATTTTATCCGGTTTAGTAATTAATCAAACCGGTTATAAACACAAAAATAATTGATTTGTTATGTATATTGTGGATACCTAGTCATGCTCAGTCTGGACCCTCTGGTCCTATGGGATGGTGTTTGATTCAAGAAACATACTATGAAGCATCAGATGCAATTATAGTCCATGCATGGTTGGGTAGAAGCGTCGTCTCTTCAGGCTGCAGTCAATGGTAGAGATTTTTCCGGCCTCGATATATATTTCGCTATGTGGAATTACGATGGTGCCACGCGGACAACAAGGATGTGTTGTGTCGGCTGGTTATCTGGTCAAGACCGGCCAAACCATGGTCACGAGCTCGGATGAGCGGGATGTGAATGCTCTGAAGAAGTTGGTCAATGATACTTAAAGAAATGTCCAGAATGTGCTTCCGCTGAGCTCGAACCTCCGTTGAAGCTTGATGGGTTTTTGGATTTGAACTTTGTGTAGTTGTTTTTCGTTTGTTTGGAAGTCTGGAACTTTATTTCTATGAACCATTTTATAGATGGTGATTGTTATGCTTTTATGTTTTTTTCTTGCTGAAATATTTTGCTTTTATCTTAAAACTTTGATTATATTTTATTTTGTRATTGCGTCTAAATGGTAGTAACCGTTGATCCGGACGTATAACAGTTTTTGTGGATAATTAGCGGCGATATTTAATCCGTTTAGTACTTTTAATACTTTGCATTAGG